CAAATTTAGTTCTGTAAAAATGTTTTAGCTCATCGACTTTTTTCCCAGATTAAGTAGTTTTTGAATAACTATTTCGTTTACTTAAAAAAACCTTATAATAGGTTTTTGAGAAATTTAAATTCGAACCATCCTAAGTAGATGTACTTTTACAGGCTTTTAGGTCTAAAACGTCCCAAAACCGACCGCTTTCAATTCCCTTAAGTTATAAATGTATCGGTTTAATCTTCTAATAACACGGGAGTATTTTATATTGTTCAATAAGATGCATATGTGTTTCTAAAAGGGCACAAGTCAAAAAGTAAACAAGAAATTCAAAAATATGATGTTTATTAGAGGGTTATTCACCCCTTACTTAGCATGGTGGTGACTCAAAGAAAATAACTGTTAGAACTTCAGAGACACACATGCGATGTGTTTTTTTTTGTGTCTGGAAAATGGAAATTGAAATAACGTTTTACATGAAAAGCGGTATATATTCAATTGAACAGTTATATATTATGTATTTTCAATTTTCGATTTCGACCTGTTAGTAACGATAAAATATAAAAGGTAATTTCTTCGTTTGTTGCTTACTGCAGACGAAGTAATATTTCTACAAACGAATCAAATTTACTTTCTATAAACGGTTTTTGATGAATAAAGCTTATTTTACCTCCGATTTACAAAAAGAAACAAAATATTACATATTTCAGCTAAAACTTAATACAGGAAATTCGTTTCTCCAAACCTACCGTATACAAAAAGTTTCTTGAAAATGTTCGTGTTCAGTCATTGTAAGGAATTGCACTTGTATTAATATTAAATTGCTACAGAAGAGCATTGCCCTTACGAAAAATATTTCGTATTTACCTTACCAACACTAACCTTCCCCTTAACTATTCCACTTGTTCATAACAAGAGGTTATTGTTTTCAAAAACTACATTTTTCACGTTAATCTAAAACTGTTTGAGTTTTGGAGCGATCAACGATTCTAAGTCGATCGTCCATGTTGTTCTCTCAAGTTAAGTGCAAAAAGTATAACGAATGCCTGTTTGGCGCCACTACGGAAGGTATAGTATTTTTTACACGGTATTACATTTTATTCCCTAGTAAAAAACGGAATGATCCGCTAGGTAAATGATATTATGTATTGGCCGAAATCCGGTTATTGTTAGTGTAATTACATTTTTCTGACAATACAAGTCTCAGTTCATTGTTTGGACGGGTTAGTGGCACGTTTGTCGTACGATAATTAATTGTTTGTGTACGTAGAATAAGATAGTAAAGTCGTTCAACTGACGGGTGTTGTATTTTTTCATTTATTTATTATTATTATCCCTCTTAATGACCTTATCGCCTTAACTGTTCCACTCACCTAAACAGGAGAAATATTTTTAATGAAAAATGTATTTTGGAATTTTTCCAAAATATTATACTCCATACTTAACTGTAGATTTGTTATCAAAAATGTTTACGGGTCCCATTGCAATTAATTTCCAAAGAACGGAGTTATATTTGTCATGTACACACGTTTTTAAAAAGGACGTACAACCGCAATCCTTCCTCGAGGGCAGACTTTTTTCAAACAGACATGAACGCGAGGACTTTCAAATAATATTTAAGAAAATGATTGTACGCTTCCAAGAATACCCCGGTAAGCCGTTATATTATTGTTTTTAGTATTTCCCTCTTATTTTCTCTTGTCTGAGACGTTCATATGATATTAGGACACGTCACTTAGCAATGAGCTTTAATTGTTAAAGTTATCAGTTGCAACAATTTGGGTTGTTGCTTGGAATCGTGAAATTATAATAGCTATATGAAGGGCACAAGGGAAAAAGATAGTAAGTCCATTTATGACAATTTTTTAGGAAAGAAAATACAATTTTAGTTTGCGTCTTCATAATATGCCAGCCGTTTTAAATGTGTTAAGTTGGCTCCATTTTCATTTTCATAGAATGCGGAATGGACAATAGTCCCAATGTGTCATATAATGGTAACATTATCTCAAAATCGAAAAAAAATGACCAAAAACTCTTCTCCCCCTGTGCCTTTATAATATACTATGTACTATTATTTATTTGACAATGTGTAGTGTATTTTGATTAAGTCGAAACCGGTGATAAAAGAAAATTGTCCCTTACATCATATTTTCGTTCTTGGTAACATCACTGTATCCCGGTTGAAATGTGTCCTCACACCTCTCACTACGCGTTTGTTTTGTATTAACTAAGGTAAATATGATATGAACTTAAGAGATACCCAACAGCTCAATTTACAGAAGTTCCGTGCCTACAACGTCCCAGCCAAGATAATATTATCATTTTCACTATTTAATTGGCTGATATTCAACTGACTGGATCTCTATATAAAACGATTCTAAGACGCAGTTTCCATTATAATACACCAACAAAACACAACAACCAGGCCGTGCGGCGGGTGTTGATGAGTATTGTTTAAGAAATGTACGTTTTATTATGTCTCCATTTACTTGATGGATTTCCTAGAAAGGAAAATAATCAATCGCTTTAAATGCGAAGCTTTTGATATTTATGACTTAGACCCCTGTCAAAGCGCTACATACCCACGTGCGTTTATACAAATAAAAGGAAATAAACGAAAAATAAGTAATAAAACCGATAGCAATAAACGATAAAATAATTTATTGACTTCGGTTTATGGCGGCAACTTTGAGGTTGACGACACAACATACTAGTCGAAGTGTTATTAATCCGCTTAACGCGAGCTTTCAAAATAAATAAAAACATGCACCTCTCATAATAATTAATCTTTTTTTTTTCTAATAATAATACATCATTGCATACAAAATAGCTATACGCGTACATTTTAGATAACATCTACATTACAGCCCGTTCTTTTATCTCGGTGCAATCCAACTAGGGTTGCTCGAACAAAGTACTCAAAGCGTCAAACATAGTTTTGTAAAAAACAGTAAGTGGGTAATGTTTTCAAATAAAGGTACGTGTGAAAACATCTCATTAAAGCACTGCGAGATTTTGAGAGTGACGGATGAGTTAACAACGTTTAATCGTCAAAGAAAGCTTGTTCAGTGAGTTATAAATTCCGAGAAACTTCTCTAGACACCAGGACGTTTATAATTAATAGTTGCAGTACCCGTACCCATTATTTCCTTGAACCCGAAAATTAAGTAAGCTTTTAGAAAAATATTATGGTTATAGTTTCACACTAAGCAATGAATCAAAATCCTACTATTATATTGTGTTTCTGTCAATTTTTCAAACGTCGCTGCGGGTTTAGGATGACACGTATCTTTTAACTGACTATCAAATAACTACTTACGTCCTACGCATTTGTTTGCTTAGTTTTGAATTTTTCGAGAACACAGATAACTCAAAGCTTATAGATAGACGGAGCTCCTTGACATATAGAAAAATACCGGAGAACTACTACTAGGTTTGCTCAGCGTACAATTACTTTTAAATCTTATGTTTATTTTCCGAAAATGTCATATCAACTATAAATTATAGATAATATTTTTTTTTCCAAAAGGTATTATTTTTTTATGCGGTTTGTTACACTCAAATCCGCCAATATTTTATTAAACACGTTTTCAGTTATACTATTTTCAACCGTGGACTATTATGCAGGCACGTACAAACGTTTTTCCGATTTTTTTTATCGATGTTTGAACAATATTATAAATACATATTTATTGTTTTCCCAGATACATATTATTATAAAATATTTAACATTCTATTATACTATGTAAAAATATATAATCATTCTTATTAAGAATATGGTTAAGTTTATAATGGTTATTAGTGGAAGTAGGTAAGCCAAGAAATAAAGCCCCATAGTAATCCTAAGCTAGTAATTAAATTGCATATTATAGAGGCCAAAAATGAATCATTCATTTGAGAACGTTTTCTAGCTAGGTGCCTGATGTTTGTATGATATCATATTTTAGTTGCACTACAGTTCGAAATGTGTTAAATGAAATTTAACTATTAAGTTAAATGTTGCTTACTACACCCAAGGTCCGACTCTGTTTTGGCATACAAAAAGACAGTTACACAAAGTCCAACCTATAGTGGTAATAAACTGCAAATTGTCAAATAAAAAATATAGGCGTTCTTTTATGGCATTGCAAAATACTCCCCGAAAGTCCATTTTCCGAAGACGTGTAGCGAAAAAATTACAATATTAAAGTTACGGTTTTAAAACAACACGATTATCAATTCAAAAGTTTAACAATAACATTTTGTCACAATGGCGTAGAGATAGAGAAAATTGGATTCAATAAAACCACCAAATTTCCGGTATTCAAATTTCGAACGATCCAATATCCTTATCCCTGAGATAAAAAAGTTATTTGTTCGCTATTTGGATTTGGTGAACACAATAAACTTAATTATAATCTGTCAATAAATCGTATACATACAATGTATTTGTAATATATTATTATTATTACAAGACATATTTTTTTACCGAGTAATAGGATTTGTCAGACAAATCTTCCTAAGCTATACATTAGGGTAGCTAAATTGCCTATACCGAATGCCGTGTTTGTAAAATCCTTGGATGTGATTGACTGTTTATAAACTGATTACCGAGTGATGTTATTGACCTTTAGGTTTATTTATACGTCGCGTCGCGTCGTGCGCTTAACAGAGAAATAAGTTTAGTTATTGTTTGTGTATTTTTAAAGGCCACGAGTCTGCTTAATTATTACGGTTAGGCTTAATATTCGAATGCGAAATGTTCTAGTAGACAGATTTCAAGTAATGTAATTATGTATTTATGATACCTATTGATATTAATTTGGGGCTACCCTATTGTCTATTGTGTTATTACTGAAGGTATACCTGGTGTGTACCTATAACACAATTTATTTTTATCAAAATTCCACAGTTAATTTTTTTTTTTTTTGGGGGGGGAGGGTTATATTTATATAAATAATGTATATCGTCAATAATGCGGCGTTTCAACAAATAATGGACCAAAGGTCGATTATGACTATTAACGGTTATTCACGTACTTGGTAAATGTGGAGACGATGTCGTGACGAAAACTGGCCGTGAGTATAGTGTACAGGAACGGGTTGGCACATGAGTTGATTGGGTAAAAGAACACCAGTAATATTTTGGATTGAGTGACGTCGACCAATGGAAGACCTAGGAGAGCGGTGACGGCGAAGAATATTACCGGGGCAGTGCAAACGAAATTTGTGCCAACCAAGATGAGGATTTTGCGGGCGATGCAAGCCTCGCCTTTGGCGTGTCTGGTCTCGTAGCTCAGTGAACTGTAGATTTGTGCATAACAAAATGCCATCAAAACGAATGCGCCGCCGGCAAACAACACCAGTGTCAATATGTAGCACACGCTGCTCACTCGGCTCACGTCTATCGGCAGACAAATACTGAAAAAGAAACACAAACAATATTAAATATAGTACAAATGAGGCCTGGAGTGTCAAAATAAGAAAACGAGTTAATAGGGTAACCGGATTTATATAAGAAAAAAAGCATTCAGGGCGATGACCGCTACAGTACATTGTTGAAAGTCAAATTTCTTTGATCAAAACAAAATAGTTAATATTAATATTTAAACAAATTAAATATTCATAACTATATCAAGTAGTACATTTTGTTTGGCGATTCCTTAAAGTAACATTCAGTTAATGTTCAAAACATTTATCGACCAACGAGTTGCAAGGATTCGCATATTCAGAGGTAAAGGATAACATATTTTACCTGTCAAGATCAAAGAGAATAGAGATAGACTCATCTTTCACAAGTGGATGATGTAGGCCAATGAAAAAAAGAACCGATGTGTTATTAAGACATATAGGCACATAGTTGTGAAATAAATATGGAACTGTTGTCAGACAGAGAAGGAAGGAGATAAAAATCAGGGTCGTCAACCCGATCAAAGTAACATACCTACACAAAATCCAAATGTAAATGAACAAAATCTCATGTCAAAGGCTTTTACTGGATTATTAAATTATTCATTTAAATTTAAAGATATTTAAGAGCATAATAATATGATTTAAACAACTTAATGATTAAATTAACTACTAGATTGTGATGAATAATGAAGGTGTCGAGAATAAATAATACTATTTTTCATGAGTCAACCAGATGCAGACTTTCTGTTAAATTATTTTATAAAATATTTTATAGTATGTACACGAATTATTATAATCACTTTTTAACGGCCTTTGTAAATTGTACATAGTATCTTGATCAGAGTTGCGTAAGGCCTTATTTAATTTTCTACATAGCATAGGAGCCGAAATACAAGACTGCGTATTAAATTAAAGCCCCTCTTGGATCCGTGTCCACCACCCAACTTAAAATAATTGAATTAAACAACCTAACCTCATAAAAATCAAATCTTATTGGCTTCAGGAACAGTCAAACATAAAGAAAATATATAGGGTGCATAAAGAGCAATGTTTTTTTTTTAAAAAAAGTTCATAGAAATAGTTTACTGATTAAGATTTTTTAAAATAATTTTTATACTTATACATAAGTTTCTTGGTTTTTTACGACTCAAAATAAGTATTTTGCTTGTAACTCGACAAGTATTTGTTGAAGGTATACCGAAATAATACCGGTTTTTTATAGAAATAATTATAATAAAAATTTATTGTATTAGGTACCGACAGTTATCTTAGATTTTTTCTGTAAAATGATTGGTCTATTATCGGTTGCATGTATCGTATTGAAAAGTTTAGACAAGTTTTTTGGTATGTGATTATGAGCAGCAAACGTGAATTTCCTCAATTACTCTGTGGAGTTTTTTTGTTTTTATCCTCCCAATTTGTTTTTTTTATAGCAACTTTTAAAACTTAAATGGAAACGCATACAATCATCAACTTTTAAAATTAAGTATAATGTAATAAAAATGTTGACAGGTTGATCACCAGTTTTGAACAACTAGTTTTTAAGTTATAAGAGTTTAAAAGTTAGATTGGGAGAGAATGTGCGTTTGGGAAGTGCGCGCATATAAAAATAATACTACACTCCACCTTTCCTTCTTGCGGCTTGCTCTAAACTTAAAACTTCAATAACTTCAAAATAGATATCCAAAACTGGTAATCGACCAGTCAAAATTTTTAGTACATTATTCTTAATTTAAAAAGTTGCAGGCGCGTGGCTTAGTGAGATAAGGCTACTGTGTATCAACACACGGTCGCTGGTTCGAATCTCGGCCACTGGCGGTTTGTTCATCCGGGTGGGCAACTATCTTGGCTACCTGCACCTCTCTCTGAGGCCAACTTGTTTGGTAGCGTTAGGTCGACAGCCAGCTATAAGCCCATAAATGCCAAATCTTAACCGGCTTAAGCCCTGATCGGTGGGAATAACGGACGTTAAACGTAAGAGAGAGATTATCAATTTAAAAAGTTAATAAAATTATTATACATTATTACTCAAAATTCAAAAGTTGCTGTCAAAAAAACTAAGTTGGTAGCAACTTAAGTAAAAACAAAAAAATGTGAAAAATTAAGAACACATTATATAAAAACATTATGAAAAAAAAAATGTAATTTCTTATAAAATATGAGATATTGAGTGGTTTACGATAAAATGATCCCCCTGTGTACCGGCGATGAAGAATTGGTGTAGCGACTAGCGTTGGATTTCGCTGCTATCAAAGCGGATGATCCCAAGCGCTAGCTAAAAGCGTAGCCAATACATAAATGAGTTAAAACAAAAATACGGTAAATAAACAGATAAACTAGCATGTACACGCGAACGGGAAGGCAATAACTTGATTACAAACGGTGTATTTTTTTTTCCTTTGCGAGTACCAAACGACGCGACGGTCGTCTCTGACCTTAATAGATATCGCAAAACGTAATAAACTGAATACGTCGACTAGGTGTATTATGGAAAATTAATTATATTATTATCACATGATATTGTTTCGGAACGGACTCTGAGCTCAATCTGAATTCGGAACACAACACAATAAACCTTTTAACCCGACAGGCGTGCAGACGTTATATAATAATAATAATAATAATAAATAATAATAATATAGATAAATGATATGATAAATACCTGGTGGTCGAGTAACTCGATACGCCCATCAGAGGCAAGGCGGCCATAAACAACGAATAAGTCCAGCCAATAGCCATTAGCTTGGCCGCCGATGAGAACGTCAACTTGTTTGTATACAGGGCTCTTCTTATGGAAAACCACCGTTCAATGGTCAACAGGCACAAAGCGAACACGGACAGTTGAGATGAGAAAACCGTTAGGAACCCGCCGATCTTACATCCGACTCCTACGAACAACAATGAAAATATGCCTCAATAATGTATTTTACACCAATGGGTTATCACATGCTTTTAAATTTCTAATAATATAACTTAATACGTTTCGAGATTTCATTGTCGTGGAATTACTAAAGTAAACAGACACCAGTGTATCAAGCCCGGATAGAAAGCAGCCCCCTCCTAGGCCCCCCGACACGTTCCCAGGACCAACAGATATTAGGGACCCATACAGATGTAACGTGCCAATTAAGTCGTCAGCTTTAAATTATATGCAAGGGTCAATAATAAGATCTTGCATTTTAAATAATTATTAAAATGAAATTATAAAATCAAAAATTTGTTTTTATTGCTTTACTCAAATGAGCATTACAATCACAGAACCGTGTTACAGTTTAATGCATAATCAATTTGTGATATGTCGACTATTATCATTTATTTTGAAACTATAACACAAATTCTAATTCTAATGTTTAATTTAATGGCTAAATGTGATATTATTAATATTTCCGCTTATATTTACATTGCCATTAGAATATATTTAACTATTTAATATGTAGCTAATTGAACAGCTGAAAGGACGTTTTCTAAATTGGTTAGAGTTAAACAAATATAGATCTTAGCTTTCACAAGATAATTATTTTTTTAATAATTTTGTCGACTGAAAAATATTATGTTCTATACATTTTTCAAACTATTTTACAGTTTATCAATTTTGTTAATCTCAGGGGAAAGAAATATATCATAGGAAATTGAATTTCTATAGGAATGTGGAATGTGAGTTACTGCGTTTACATTTGAACAGGCAATGCGGCGTACAATATCTACATGCAATTAATATAAATTGTATCATTGAATTAGTGTTCGTTTAATTTATATCAAACATTTCGTTTATGTTTGTACATTATAATTAGTTTAATAAACGGTTACGGTTTAAATAAATTTATGACTGTAGTCTATGAACAATCATAATAGTCACGCGACCATTATACGACACTTGCATTTGAAAGACAATAATATTTAACACGGGAAAAATAACAGCACAAACCCGTATTTACCGTACACCGTGACTTGTAAGGTAATATAATATTATCACTAGCAGTGTCGCGTTACTTAAATGTTAGTTATGTACATATCGAATGCAACAAATATATTTGTAACAAGTATATCGATAATGTGAAAACGAAGAAAGGAATACTGTTTACGATACCTGTTTGCCAGTTGTAAGCGTAGTTAAAGTACTTGTTGCTGGATTCAAAGTCTTGGTAGGCCAGTATTAACAGATAAATGGCAGTGCAGAAGTCGGCGAAAGCCAGATTGCTCATCAAAAATCTCGGTACCGATTTGTTTGCTCTCTTGCGAATCACTACCAACAGCACGATCATGTTTCCCAACAATGCGGTAACGCCGACAATCCAAACACTCATCCGCAACCAAAAAAATCCCATTATGTCTTCACAGGGATTGAGAGCGTCTGGTTGAGGCGAACACTTTACGGGCGATTGACTGAAAAGTGTTGGATAAAAATAAATGAAAATTAATATTATACTCATGCAAAATAAGGATATATTGACGGTATTTGTTGACGTAGCTTTGGTTAATGGTCGCTTAATCGTTTTGTTTTTTTTATAAAATATTATGTGATAAAAAAAAAATTATAACATTGCTCTTAGACTTATAACACATTAGATTTTCAGCAAAACAGAAAAGCTTTTATAAACCTCAATTTAAACCTAGTCTGACGTTTTGACAATGAATAACACTGATACAGTTAACGATAAATCTTCATTGAAGTAAAAACAAATACAAAAATATAAGACAATTCTTCGATAAAATATTTATTAAACAAATTAATTCAACCCAATTAAAAACAACGATCATTATTAATTTAACAAAGAAAAATACGGCATACACTGTAATACTGTAGAACGGTAGTGTGAATTATTAAAATTCTTAGGTTTAAGATATTTTTATAAGAAATGTAATTTATCATAAATTATTTCAATTACATAAATTCATAATTTAATTTAACATAATTTTATTTTTAATTTATAAATGTTATTCATCTCATTTTTCATCTCATTTATTAGTTTTTTTTTATACAGAACCAAGTCCCCCATTAGTGCCCCCAAACTTTTGATCGCTAGACTTCCCCTAAAAAATTTCTTAGTTGAAAATTACTATTTCACACAAAAAGTTTTCTATTTCCTGAAACCCGTAAACTATTTCATAACTAATTTCAAAAGTCAAGCTCGAGCATTTTACTTTTTGTAGATGAAATATTTTAATGAATTTCCGGTTTTAGTAAAGTTAATTAATTTTTTTCAAACGACTCGAGGTTAATAACAGTATGGTTAGTATCTACGCAAAATATTGTGATAATGGGGCTAGAAAACCTAAGACCACTTTTTTAATTTCCTAAAAAATGACGAATCCATATAAATGACTTAAGGATATTCTAGGTTTGATAATCGTTATGGGAAATCAACGTATAGTAAAATAGTAAATAAATAGTATTAATTGTGCGCGGAATATGAGTAATTAGAAAATACTTAATCTCACCCAAATCTGTCCCGTAAGAGGGTTGGGAGTGTGAAACAAGGTCCTTTACTCGCCTCTCAAAAACTGTTACAGTGTATAAAATGTATTGGGAACATCGCTAGGATTATATAAGTAAAATATATTGGTGGATAAAGTCTCTATAGACTGCAGTTAAAAAAAAAAACTTTTTTTAATTATGCTTTTCTACAAAAAAAATATTAGAAAAGCCATATAAAAAAAATATTTGACTACAATAGCAATTTACCTATCAATTGTAGCACATTTTTTTAAAAATGTCAATTACTTTGAAAACAACCGAAAAAAATTTGTTGTAATTGATTGGTAAAATATCGTTTTTGTAGTAAAATTATTTTTTACTATTTTTTTAGAAAAGCATGTTTTTTTTAAAATAAAATAATTGTTTTAATTTATTTGTTTTAGTGTTTATCTTATTAAAGATACTTAATAATTGTGAATAGATTACTAAATTAATTTTGGAAGATTTAAAAAAAAGATTAAAAATTTTTAGTAAAATGACTCCCATATTTGACCGCCCGGCATTTGCGACCTGGATGTCTGAGTCCCAATATTATGACGGAACATTGTATTTTTGTCATCCGAGATGAGTGTCTGTGTCAAGTATCAGCTCTCTACGACATCGCGAAGTGGGTTAAATTAATTTTACAAGATTTGAAAATACTCGTACAAACGTACGTACGCGTTAGAGTTAGTGAGTTAAAGAAAAGCATGTAAAAAGAAAAAATTACTCCCAGGATCTCAATACATAGAGTCGGGTCAAACCTACGGGTTGTTATAAATGGAACTAGGTATATATTATACACCAAACCGTTTAGCGTCTAGGAGGCTGAAGGATCTAACATTAACAAGCAACACACAGCTGTAAAAAATCATTAGGTATGTACTATTAATTTTGTTATTATTATTACGTTATGGGCGTTATGTTGCCACACACGATTTCCATATTGTTTGTTGACTGGGCCGTCTCGTGGAAGAATTCTTCGTTGTCATTGTTATCAGACGCAGCGTTTTCGGTTTTCAACGTCACAGTCGGGTGTTCGATCAGTACACCGACGGCCGTCCTCGAGCCTTCGCATTTGTTTTGAATCGCTTGTATGTTTGCCTGTGTACAATATACCCGCACGCGTTAAATTTCAATAAATATAATGCACACACAGCTGTACCAGTATGTACCTACACTAATATGTGTACACACACAAGTAGGTATATCAAAACGTCTTACTCGATACGAGATTCGCCCGATCGGTGTACGGTACTAAAAAATACAATTTCACCGAGCGCCACGCCATACTATGTGTATCGTTATTGTTATTATTTTCATTATTTACACTATTATTTTTCAAGGGCGACGTCCGCATGCGGCATGTGTATACTCATTTCCAAAAGATTATCTCAAAAACTCGGTTTACATCAATTTATATAGGTCGTAAAACCCCGCGTTTATCCCATATGTATAAGACCGACGGCGTGGTGGATATGGCGACAAATATTATTTGCTAAACATACCTAATTCACTAATCGGTTTTTTTTCGATTAAAATTATTAGGTATTACGGTAAAAAAAATACCGGCTACGGGTTGCAACCTATTGTTATAACGTGCCTAAGAACAAGCATACGGTCGTTTAGTCGGAAGGTGACGTTATTAAATGTTAATGTTGTACTCTAGTATGTATAAAATAGGATTTTGTAGGAAACGTGACTGGTAAATTGATTTTTTGCAAAAACAGAACACCAGGTAAAATTAATAACAAAAAGTACTCGCGAGTATATTTATTATCTCGTCGAAGTACTTTCGAGAATTTAATGTAACAGATATGTTTTGAAAAACGTATTATTTTATTTGTGATCGAGTAAAAATTATACAAGGATGTATGTCATTTTAAAACTTTTTTCATTTTTAAACATTTTTCATATATATATTTCAATTTTTTTACTTCTCTTTTCTAGTAAAATGTTTTCTATGTCAATTAAAAGGAAGCGTTAGTTTAAATATTTATCTATTAAATTGTGTTAAGATAAACCATCATCCGATACAGCTAGTCTATACGCCTTTTAAAAAGTTTTCTTTTTTTTTTTTTATTAAAAAAGATTTTCAAAATTAAATTATTCTACGACACCACGTAGGATTTTTATCGTTAAGCGATTTTCACCACCAAAACGGCTATTACTAAATAAAAACAGTATACTTGAAAAATTACATCCTATCTAAAACTAATAATTGACATGACCTCTTAATAAATAATAAAAAATACTCGAGTGTGAACCCTCTAAATAGGTTTATTTGTTAAGTGAGCTATGAAAATAGTCCTTAAAAAAGTACTGTATACAAAAAAAAAAAACATAAATTGAATATACAATTTTTTTACATTAACCAAAAAAGAACAATCGTCCTGAGACATATTATGTATAATTTATGTATACTATGTGTATACTAGATGGCGTAACTAGAGGGGGAGGAGGGGTGGGGTTCAAATCCTTCTAAGCTCGTTAAGGTTTCAAAAAAATAAACAACTATTGAGGCATAGCCCCCAAGGTTTATAATTTTTACTACATTTTTAGGGAGCTTTCAGAGTTCCTAATTCCCCCCCCCCCTCACCACTAGTTACGCCAATGCAAATATCAATCATAAGTCATAAGTCATAACACATGTATACCGTAATTTTTTTATTTATTTGATATTTCACACACCGCAAAACAATAGCATTCATTAATCAAAAGGATAACGTATAATTAAAAACGTATTTAGAATCGGTCAAACAGCTTTGTAGAAAGTAGTAATTAAACAACCACTAATGGCATAATATGTTGTTTTAATATTCGTTCAAATAATACCAAATTAAACTCAACGGAATTTTAATTATCTACTTCTCCCTCTCTCTCTTGTTTTTCCATACAATTTTTTTATTCGTGTTAACCTCTAAGTACAATATACTTATATTTTTGGGATGTTCACTCAGCCTACGGATTGAAATTTTTTCCACAGTGAGAAATCCAATATTTTCATGTAGATATCGAATGTAAACCAAAATATATAATATATACATATAGAAGTGTGTATTATATAGTATGCTCCTGTACAAGGCAAAACCTGTGCACAAGTTTATGACCAAACTTGTAGTAAAAATTACACATTATGATTTTTACTTATAATAACATAACTAAAAAACTCTTACTTGATGATTAGCGTATTTTGTATGATCGTGTTTATCTGGGAACTGGAAAGCACAGCAGTGAAATGAATATGTTAGATGTGCTTCTTTTAAATTCTATAAAAAAAAATCCTTATTGATCAGTTAGGTTGTGTATTAACTAGTGTATTATAATTTATTATTGTGTAAAAATGTTTTATAATTACGCCGAAAGAATAAATCGAAGGGATCTTAGTCAATGATGTTGTCTTTTCAACCCAAAGCTTTTCGATACTCATCAAACCCGAAGCTGGCAAAAACGACATACTCGTTTCTGACAAATCTCTACACAAAATCGATAAGCAACACAATAGTAATTATGTTTAATGTAAATATTCAACATTTTTGCACCTGGCGGATATTTATTCTTGACAAATATGACAGTACGAAACCCAGGCTTAGATTTTAATAAATCCCCCAACGTATTGTCTATCATGCATGATTCAATAAGTATACAATAACTAAATCGCTTATTCAAGAAAGAGAATATTTTTATTACTAAAAATAGTTTGTTAGTGGTAAATTATTATGTAGAATGAGACGGAAAATTATAAAACATGTAGAAAAACTGTTAAGCAAACTTATGGTTAAATATATAGTAAAGATATAAAATCTACTTGAACCCTAAACTTTAGGGTTCAAGTAGATTTTATATCTTTACTTTATAAAACATGCTTTCAAAAATCTCGTTTATTTTTGAAGGATAAAATGTCTAATATAGTTTTATATTAATTATAACACAGAATAAACAGAAAAGAAACTATCCAATTTTTACATGGGCTCATATGGGACAAGACAAAATCATGTCCAAAATCTTGAATATGATTGAGAAATGGGCAGTGCTGATAGGCGTAGGGAAATTCTCATTTTTCGTTCATTCTGGCTAAACTGTTCACTCGACAAACTCGGAAAATGGCGATAACATTATTGTCGTCGTACGATATTTAGTATATTAACAGTGTAGCCATAAGTCACAGAAAAATTGAAAACAAGGAAATATCTGAGTTCTGGCATTACTGGCTAAAACTCAATATGTCTGGCCTTTTATTGATAAGCTCTAAGATTCCCTTATGTTTACTCTGTGGTTAAAATTCGATTTAAGTTATAATTAAATGTGCCGATAACACAATTATTAATAATGATTTTTTTTTTATTCATTTAACTTTTTTTTTTGTTTAGTAGTGTATTGTTTGGTGTATAAACCATTTTTGATTCATTCAAACACAAATTATTGTTCCAACATGTTTTTCATATTTTATTTTGAAAAAGGAACAAGTTAGCCGCAGATATGAGTGCTAAAAAAGACACAAAATAAGTACCTAATAATCTAAAAAAAAAATAGTATGTAGCTAAAAAATAATAATTTTTCAGATTTTTTAAAAACATTTTTTGCTTAGCAAAACACGTTTCTTTGAGTTTTCCCAACATTTTGGATTTATTGTCTTATCCCTTAGTTGAATATGTCATTGAATTATGGTAATTTATCGTTGACAATCATGTGTTACTTTAGGGGTAGAGTGACTTGCTCGAATGTGTATTAACACTTGTCATTTAACAAAATAAGAAATAAAAGCTTACAGCGATAATAAGTTTGCAATTCCATCGAAACTATGATCAAATAAACTTCTCAACTTGTTTCCTTTCAGGCTCCTATATTATAACACACATTGTATTACATAAAGAAAAAACCTACATTTTTTTTTAAATTTTTAATAGAGACAAATTTTGAATTTACAGTATAGTCATTGGAAATACTTACAGTTTAGCTATTTCGGAACCATTAAACGCCCAATTTTCTATTTCTTCGATACCATTGTACTCTAATAGTCTATTGAAGTGTACAAAATAATTAGATTTATGAATGGTAAATTAGTTTATCCTTATAAATTAAATACCTATTAACAATATACCGTCAACCCGGATTAAATGGAGCATTTTGGGTGACTTGGAACACTGTATTTTGGTACCTAGAGTTGTTTTTATAATTATTTTGTGAAACAAAAATTAAGTTATGACAAAATAAGTCAGACGCCTTTTCCATTTCACCCGGGTTGACGGTACACGATTTATGTATATACCTTATAATTGATACAATGCTAAATGTCTAATTAAAATGTTATAAAAACGTATCTTTATATAATAAGTAAGTCGCACAAAATTACTTACGTTTAACTATTGCCTTTTTTAAAAAAATGTTTAGTTAAAAAATCAAATACTTGGGTTACAACACGATAAAGGTTAATTTTTTATTTAAAATTTGTTTGAAAAGCAAATACATACATATATTCAAAATTAATACAAGAATATACATATGTATGCATATGTTGCACAAGAGAATTATGTTATGTGAAGGAAGCAATAAATAATTTTAGTACTGCAAACCCGAATAGGTATTGCAAGTGTCGAGTCTATGGCCCCTACTTAACAACAAGTACTCACAATTGTTCTGTTCTGGTTTTGATCCCGTTCGTTGTCAGTTTGTGTATATTATTTCCTTCGAATTCACTAATCATAGAAAACACATTTTCGTTAAAATCTAGTGTATCGTTTAATTCAATAGATTTTTTAATAATCGGAAAAATGAATATGTTACTCGTACATTGTGTGCATTGCTTTTATAGACCCCAGGTTCGATAAATCTGGTATTTTTTTGAGATTGGATTTCGTTATATGTCTGTAATAATAAAGTATAATCAAATAATTCGATTACGATAAAGTTGTAGCGCATATTAAAACACGCGCTTGTAAAATAAATACCTAAAAATTCAACTTAATGGTGTATAAAACTCCCCCAAAAAATATCACAAAAGAAATGTTTAAAATTTAAGAAAAGCTATAAACAAAATACTGTGTATTGATGTAATCTATTTTTGTTTTACAATAATTATAAATTATTAATCGATTAACCTTTACCTACTTAACTGGTCCACAATGAAAAGATAAAACAACATCTATCTACAGTATGTATCAGTGTACTTATATCAACTAATAGCGAGCCACTAATTAATGCAATACATTAATTTCAATGAAGAATTTTCACGCATCCACCGTTTTCACCTTTAATGATTATAATTTCCTAAAACTCTCAACAAGCAGAATAACTTTAAGTACACCTAAATGGATATTCGTAACAGCGCATTAGATATTTTTCAGCCATTTTCTCGAAAACAGAGTCATGTTTATGACGCGCTTTAAATATGTTCAATCTGGCAAAATAAATACATACATGTTCCCTATACCTACGCACGCATATTTATTATTTTTTATTTCAAATTTCATTAAATTTTTCAAAGCACAAAATACACTTACAAGCTTGAAAATGATTTTGAAAAACTTCTAAATACATCTGATGGTATTTCTTTTAAAGATATAGCGTGTGAGATGAATCTGTGAATAACAAAATATAAGAAATTATTACAATATTATGTTAAGTTTTTTCAACAAATAAATATTAGTTTCGAAAAAAAAACTTACAGCGATTGTAATCTGGTTAAGTTCTTGAATGTCGAAGAGCTCAGTGTAGCGAGATTTTTCACGTTGATTAATACTCTATAAACAAAAATAGCCGACAGTGTTGTTGACTAGACATAAAAATAAAATATCCTTTAATTCGGTATGAATTCAAAAATATAATATTTATTAACATTTAACGAGTGTATTATGCACCTACTTCAGATCCAAACCAAAAAAAAATAATGAGTACTTACATATCTGTAATACTGTGTTTGTACAAGGAAAACGAATTTTCAGATAACTCTTTAATGTTACACTCCCTTAGTGTTCTGAAATAAAATTAATATAATACAATTCTGTGATATTGAATAATAATTAAATAATTTGGAATTAAACAATTTTGAAATTAGTATTTAAAGGGTTTAATTATTATTTAACCTCATGTGACTTCTTTCTTCATTAAATCGCAAGTTTATAAAAATAAACTCAAGCAAGAAATTTAACGGGCCATCAGCGGACAAGTTTGTGAAAACGTGATTAAGAATTTCATCGTCAGGATTGCGTACTGAGCAAGTAAAAGGGCCACATGCCAGACATATTTCACTCTCAAACCTCGACTCGTAAGGAAGATTCCTTATGAGTCGAGGTTTGCTTCTACTTATGTCTACTTATATCTACTTATGTCATTGTGAATACATATATTTTTTTTTTATTAAACCGATTCATAGCAAAAACTAAAAACCTGCGTTTTTTATGAAATACCCTTAATTTGATATATTTCTTAACAATTATGATATTATTTTCTCATATTAAAAAATATTTATAGCAGCCATTTTCTGTTTTTAAACGTTTTAGATATTGTCAAGCCTGAAATTTTATTGACAAGTGACAACACAATCCGATCGATCATTAAAACGTTTTAACCTAACCGAGTTGATAATGCATCATGTGACACAGCGGTAAACGAACCACAATAGCTAGGGTAGATTACATGTGCCATGTTGTGTTAACTGTTTTAAGGACAATGACAGATTGATATATTTATATTTATAAATATATTATATTAATACTGTATTGCTCCGAAATTTATTGGTTCCATAATCCATAAACCGTGTTAGAACTAATCACAGTGCTTTAATAAACGTGTATGGAACCACTACTCGTAAAATATTGTGCAGTTTAAGACTTAAGGGTTACTTTGTTTATTATATTTAATTATTTATCTATATTAATGTTCCTTATTGTACGTGTAAACGATGTAATGTAAATCCGAACTTCTGAATGGTTTGTGTAGTTCCTCAAATTCACGTTAATTTTAAGGAATATTTGTTTTTTTTTTTGGTATTTTTTACATGAATACATGAGTTTATGTAATTGATCAGAGTTCTCTATCAATGCACACGTGTAAGGACCATAGAGTAGTATAGAAGAGCCTTTTTATATATTGCCTACATTACACATTGACCCGTTAAGTGACTCCTTATTTCAGTTTGACCATAGATAATAAAAAAAAATTGTAGGTTTAAATATTAGGGTTTGACAACCTGCTCCTTTAATTTAAATACTGTATAACTAAGTACGATTTAAGATAATATTATCTTAAATACTTATTTTTCCAAGCTTAGGGCGATTTTTCTGCGCAGTATTATCTAGCAATCATGCCTGTTTATTTAGTCATGGCAGTACTAAAAAATCGCGACACTAATTGTTTAACCGATATAGTTGTGGAACGACTTTTCTATACTACCCTACAGTCTGGACATGCCTCGACCGACGATATTTTATAAATATAAACACATGAAAAAAATGTATTATATCAAAACGCACGGACCAACTACTCATTTAATATCACGTAGTTGCTATTAATATATATAAAAATATAGGTGAGGCTGCCGACAGATTTTTGATAACGTTGTTAGTATTATGTTTAGTTTTATCTAGTCTGTGAACTGGTAGTATTGTGTATAATGTTTTACTTCTGTAATATCATATCCAACTCGGCTTACAGATTTTAACTTTTAACCCCTGGTAATTGCCTTGGATTAACTACACGATGCACCACAATTTCGGAAAATTGTGTTATTTAAACGTGTAACAGAAATATTTTTTAGAAATTCAACTAAAAAAAAACAATTATAAAACATTATAATAGTTATAATAATTTCAGACTTGATTTCATGAATAATCTAAAAGGGTCGCTTAGGGTAGAAAGCAGGTTTTTTTTAAATAATCAATAAATTTGCATGGAGGGAATAATTTCTTAATTTTGAGTAAGCCTTTTATAAATAAAAAAAATGGTTCAAACACTTATTATTTGAAGATTTTATAAATGGTTTAATTGCTTGCATTTTACAGCGTTTTAATTTAATTCCTAACAATTTCGCAATTGTACCTGAAGGGTACTTAAATAGATCAAAAGTTCACTTCCTCTCCATCAAATTAAAAAAAACCATAAAAGTCTACATAATTTTCAACTCAAAATTACAACGCGCTTTAAATTTTTTTAAAAATTGTCGAATAAGTAACGACTGAACTCAGACATCTTATAGGGATTTAGTACACAAAGAAAAATTACTACATCCAAATTGCGTGGGAAAATTTAGGGTTAATTCCGAGAGGCTATATTAATGGGTATGCACGAATTGCGTCCCGGGTCTAAAAGATAAACAACCAGTTTGCCCACCTAACGTATTACCTATCTAAAATTATAAACTTGCTGTCCGTAACATAAGTATTCACGAAATGAACAGTAAAATCGAATTCTCGATGGTTATTTGGTTGTACCGCTATAAAAGCCTTACTAAAGCAGTCCGAAGAAGGATAAGCCGAAAAATAATTACAAAATTTACCGGTTTCGGTTTTATTAAAAATAAAAATTACTTAATTGAATGCAAAGTTTTGTGTCATATGTTTTGCCTTAGTGAAAACGAAACCCCCTTTACATACTGCATCAGGATTAACATACAAAACTGCCCTTAATTTTGCTTTGTCTAAATTAGCATACCCATGCTTGGTTAACAACTTAAACTTAAGAGGATTATTGAGTTTTTGCCTGTTGAATGTTTGAAAATAATCTTAATTATGATTGTATGTTAGCCACTAAAAATTATTTTATTTTCCTCGTTTAACTTTTAGTATGAATTTCAGAACCGTTTAAAACAATCTCTCGATGTCATAATTAATAAACATTTTTGAAAATAAAATGTTAAATCGTCAAAAGTTTTTTATTTTTTTGCTTAAAATTATATTAACTATACCCACCAATATAATATGTTTCGTTTTAAAACTGACACGAATAACTATAGTCTATACTTTTATTGATACTCCATGCTCTGTTTTTCCATATTTACGCCGTTATTTAATTTAACGGTGATCAGTAAAAAACTAGGTGTATTATTAATACTACCTACTTGTTATATTAATGCACGAAACTCGGATCTATCTTAGATTTACCCCACATGCAACTCGATTGTTTGGATTTTCAACCATTATCTTCCGCACGCAATTCGGATGCTCCGTGAAAAATATGTGCCTAACGCTAGGAGTTTACTACTAGAACTACAGCTGCGACTTGCAAACTTACCTCCTACTAAAAAGAACCACTACTACGGCAAATGTTAAATGAACCGTTTTTATTGTTTTAAATACTCAAATGACCCATAATCTACTTTTCATACTAAAGGCAAAATCTTTCTAGGAAATATGTTGTTTATATTATCCTAAAATGATTAACACATAGTATTGTTAAATATTATACCATTTATTATAAATATTTATAGTATGTATAATCAATGATTATACTATTCGAATCATATTAAAAAAATGTTGCAGCAACTACTACACAGGCAGATCACTTCATTTTTTTTAACTGCAATTTTACAACTTAAATATAGTGCATGAGGTCCAGGCTTTACCATAATTAAGAAAATAATGAAATTATACCAGTTAAAATATTTGACTATGAAATATAACTCCTTAAGAGGACGCTACTCACCCGTAATTTATCCACGAAAAATGCAGGGGACAAGAATGTGAACGCGGTATTTAGAGTAGCCGTATACAATTTTTACAATGGATAGAGAAGAACTTTATCTACGGGGTAGAGTTTTTAATTTTTTTTTAAAACTTAAGCACAATCAAATTATTCATTCGTAAATATTCATTATTTTTTCTTTTTTTTAATTTGTTTATAAAAATATTAAGTATAGATATCAAAACAATAAAAAACTTTATCCCCATGGATAAAGTTCTTCCCTATACGTTGTGAAAATTTGGTAAATTTACTGTTTATACTGATCTTACATACTTGTCCCGCGCAATACAGTTCTGATGGGAAAACAATTGTAATTTATCCTATAGAAATAATTGTGATAATCTGACAAAAAAAATGTCAATCAACAAAGTATTCTCATTACTGTATTAATAAGTATATATATTTAAGAGTTAAAACTCTAATTTAAGATTTTTCGAAAAATTGCCTATACTTTACTCTATAGAAATGGTCTATGGAGCGTCCTCTTAACAATTTACTTTTGTATAAATATTTTTTTTTTAAATAAAGGCTAAAAAAAATATATTTTTTTTCACATATTTTAAGAATTATTAACATTATTTTTTTCTTTAATTGTAATAATATAGTAATAAAATTATAGGCAGTCTGTCTATTACAATTTTCCTAAATAACATCAAGGCTTAAGCTAACCATAAAATATGTATATACATTGTCCAAATATATATTATATACTTACATCACGTGTACAGGCTCGTTGAATATCGGTATTTTGTCTACTCCAAAACAGTACATTTCCTTTTTTTCTGGCCTTTGGTTCGTTATGTTTCGGAAAAAACAGCTGTGCTCTACCGTGGAGATAGTGTAATTGCACTTTATAGACAGCAGAAGGCAAATGCTCCATAACACAATATTGATGGTCGTCGCCATAAAGGCCCACCTGTGTAAAAATAAATGTTATACTGTAATATATAATTTGTATATTGGATAAGTGACCATCAACCTGATTGAACATTGATACATATTTTTATTATGACATCACTTAGCGTGAATGTTGATACATCATTAAAAAATTAACGGCTTAAAAATTAAATTGTCTAATCTAATGAGTCTGTAGAGTAATTTTGTTCTGTTGAGTTCGCAGCGCAAAACGGATTCTTACGAATAATAAATGTGCATATAATTTACTTGAAAACAAGAGACACACATCGCACAAGAGATTCATTACAAAACTAATTTTCATATATTATTTAACCTACCTATCTTATCAATCCAACAGTAACTCATACGTCAAAAGTGGATACACCTATTCAAATAAATAAAATAGCTAAAAAAAAAATGAGCCAAAACGGCCCAGCTGTTCTCAAGTGATGCCATTAGCTACGAACAGCATTTCATTTTTATTTATATAGAAGATCATTTTTCTGTTTACATATAAAAAAGAATTAAAATTTTTAAGAGAAGATGTAATAGTTGCACCAATTAAATTTATCAAAAATGTTCACGGCAGCCCCTCAGGCGCTTATGATATCTAAAAATAAATGAATTAAAATTCTGAAATTTGTACAGCACTTACTTATATGTAAATAGGACATCTGTTAAAAAATTTGGTAATGGAGACTTATATTTACTAGTTGTAAGAACTTGAATTTTTTTAATTTCGTATTTTAGAACTACGCATAACATAATGTTATTCAAGTTCTTATAACTCTTAGTAAAAATAAGTCTCCATCACTAAACTTTTACCAAATTTTCTATATACGAGTACATACAAGTAAGTGCTGTACAAATTTTAGAATTTTTAGTTTAAGCCCAAACAATTTATAGGCTCTTAAATATTGCACTTTTAGTAAAATACTACTTTGAAGTTACTAATACATTATAAAAAAAAATTGTCCAAAAAGAGTGCAGTTAAATGTATCAGAATAAAACAATTTTTCTTTGTACTTTGACCTTGAGTCAGCATAAAAATTTAATAAAATTTATAAGATTTTGAATTTGTTTTTAAATTTGTTAAAAGAGTAAATTTATTGAAAAATAATGACAAAAATGCAATGCTGTAATAACCATTAAAAGAAATTATTCATTCTATGATTATTTACATTTATTATGTGTTGAATAATATTAAAAAATTATAAAAATGTTAAAAAATAAACAATAATAACATTTTTTTTTCTCTTGATTATATGAAATTATATGCATAGGATATATTAGTTTGAGGCATTTAGAAAATCCACTCCCACACATCAGATGATTTGGCATGGAATGACCCATAATCTATTTGTCAGGCTGAAGAGGGTGGCTGGCTCATTGATTAATTTTTAATTTTGTTCTTAATGTAACAAAAATTAACTGATTGTGATTTATAAAATTTGTTTTACTTATTTTTGAAATAAAGCAAAAGTTGGAGGGGACAGGAGTGAAGGACAAAGCAGGAGGCTAGATATCTCCCACCCCTTGTTATATAACTATTTACATTTAAAGCCCCCGAGGCCCAAAGGTCTACCTAATTGTGCCACTGGCAATGTTAATATTTCATTATTATTATATACGGGATTTTCATCTCATGTTATGTGCTCTACAGCCTTTTAGAACCCTAATAGAAAATAAACTGTTGTTAGAGGACATTCAATTTCTATATTTATAAAGAAATTTATTACAGGTCAATAACGTTTCTTAAGAATGTATTCAATAAAATGTATACGTAACGATTGTAAAATTAATAAATTAACTAACAATAATAATACAATGATTGATGAGCATTAAGAGTACCTACATAAAACAACAAATATAATTCAACAATATATAAATTATGAACTTTTAAATCTCGTGTAATCTCAAGAAATCATGTGCGATAGCTGTCAAACTAAATTTAACATGCGCGCATTGACTAGTTTGATTTTGGCCTTCTTGGCTTCAATTCATGTTTTACATTAAACGAACCGTTCTAAAAATGGGTTGTCACATGTGCATGTTTTAACGAGTGCTGAAAACTTTTAAAATACTTTAAATCCTAGACCCGATTATATTATTACACCACTATTTAACGAACATATCGATCCATTCGTTATTATTTAAAAACCAAAACAACTATTCTCAATTTTTAGTTAGATCAGAAACGTACAACGACATTGATTATTTATACAATGAACAACAGAACACACAATATAATGTGTGGTAGGTACATGCGAAAAATATAAAAATATGTTTATAAAATACAAATATATTAAATATGTTACAAACATAGGAATTTATTAATATATTATATTAATATGGATATATTTGTAAACAGAAATAGCCCCTTAATTTTTTTATTATTTTTAAAAACTTGAGTAAATGTCCTTGAATTGAACCAAATGAACACGCGTCGCAAACCCTTTGAAACCTAAACCATAATCCTAAATTAGCTAAATAACAAAAAACTAATAAATCCAAAAAATATATTTTTATTATAAATTTTACGATTTTAAAATTAAAATTAAGTGATTCTAATTAACAGTTCTTAATAGGGGCGAAATACTAAGCAAATTCACCCTAATATTTTTAGTGGGATCTTCCCGTCACGATTACAATGTAATTTTTTCATTTTATGGAATTTTATATCAGAGTTCTAGAAAAATGTTAAGACCCAGCGTTTTCATTCAAAATATAAGAATTATTATAGAAATAGATTTTCTATATTTTGTACGTTTTAAATCTCCGATCAGCGAATAATTTTTTTACTTTTTATTTAGGTTTCGACAAAACGATATCCAACAAAATTGTAATTTAAATCACTAGTTTTAATATTTATAATGTGTTCTAATCATTCACTTCAGTTAAAATTTGGCATACACATATTTAAAAAAAAAATGAAAAGGTGGGGAGCCAGTTACAAGATATAAAAAAAGTTCAAATTTGAACCACCCTATTATATATACAGTGTGATTTTTTTATCATGAGCCACTCAATATCTCATAGGGTTTAATAAGAAATTAAAATTTGTTTTTTCATATTGTTTTTATACAATGTAATCTCAATTTTTCACAATTGATTTTGTTTTTACCTCCCTCCAACTTAGTTTTTTTGATAGCAACTTTTGAAACTTAAATGGTAACGTATATATTTTATTGACTTTTTAAATTGAGAATGATGTACTAAAAATGTTGACTAGTCGATAACCAGTTTCGGATAACTATTTTTAAAGTTATAAGAGTTATAAAGTTAAGATGGGAGGGGAAGTGCGATTGGGAAATGCGCGCAGATAAAAATAATACTACACTCCACCTTTCCTCCTGCCCTAAACTTTAAACTTCAATAACTTAGTATAACAATAAAAGATATTGAGTGGCTCATAATAAAAAAATCACTCTGTATGTATATATACAGGTTGATTTTTTAAAGGAAATCACTTATTACCTTATAGGATTTAATCAGTTTTTCCCGCAATGTTTTTAGACAATGTGATCAATTTTTCACAAACTTTTATATTTTTAATCCCCTCCCAGACTAATTATTTTTATAGCAACTTTTGATTTATAAATGGTAAAATTTATATTTTATTAATTTTTTTAATTCAAAATAATTTACCGAAAATTATGATTAGTTGCATAACTAGCTTGGATAATTATTCTTAAAGTTATTTAATTAGTAGTATTTTCATCTACGTACATTACCCAACCGCACTACCCCTCCTGTCCTAACTTTTAAAGTTAAACTTTAATAACTTTATACGATCGTATTGATGAACGCTTAAAAAGTAAATTTAAATACCATAACAGTTATATTTACAAGTCCATAAAGTAGGTAAACTAAGTACCCGTGAGGTTTTACGTGTGTTTTTAGTGCATATTATTCTACAAAGTAATAATGAATGTATTTATTGTTAACAAAATCAAAAATAATCAAACAACATTTGTAGAACTACGATATTTGTCCTATGGAATCACTTATACAATACTTTAATGCAAATAATATATTATGTATGAATAATCGTATAAATATGATAATTATTATCTATTCTTTTGAAACACTAAGAAAATATGAATTGTTTACCACCTCACATTTAATCATAACGTTTTCAATAAAAGAAGACAACTGTTATTAGATTAAAATTACATGATTTTCACAGGATTTTTTAAAAATACAGATGATATATCTGACACTCATTTTATCGGAAAAATTAGTTTTTGAAAATTATTTTTTTCCTATACTTTTAGGTACATATTTTACTATATTTTTCAATATAAGACAATTTTTACCTTCATCGCTTTTACGTAAAAGAAGTATGGACTAAATTTTTTTTTAAATAGGAATATTCGTTTTTAATTTCATAAATTTGTAGACAAACAATTTTAAAAATTGTTAGGGTTTAAACTTTTAATTTTCATCAATCTCTTCGTTTGCTATGACATTGTAAAGATTTGAATTTATGATCAATATTCCTTCGGTTTTTTCAACAGTTTCTCATTAAATAATACTATTGACCTCGTCGATAACACTTGTCACTGTCACTGTGATTGTATAGGTAGATAAGGTCCGCTTGTCTATTATTATCTTAAAGCATAGCATTGTGTCTTGTTATTAGTGTTCGCACCTATCGGACAATGCGAACATAAATATGGATTTTATGGACTACTGGAATTTGGAAAACCGAAAACATATGATAATATTATAAGGCAAAATTTAATATCTTTGCAGTCATAACAAGCAAACAGATTGTTAATTATTCAAAATTCAAACACAACATTTTTTAAAAATGTTTTGTCTACATAGAATAGAATTAAAAACATGTTCCTTAAAAAAAAAAATCAATATTTGTTTTACGTATAAAGAATGTAGATAAAAAGTTTCAACGTATTGAAAAATGTAGTAAGATATGTCACTACAAGTATAGGAAAAAAATTATTTCAAAAATATTCATATTATTCTCTTAAAAAAATGCGTGTCTTACATCAGATG